CTTCTTGAGGCTGCTGTTCTTGCAAACAATGTTACTAACAGCACTAAGGCTCTTGTGCAGGGAAGCATTGAGCAATTGGCCCTTCTGGTTGGTATAGCTCATGAAATCAACACAAAAGTCAACAGTACCGATGAGCTTCTTGAGGCTGCTGTTCTTGCAAACAATGTTACTAACAACACTAAGGCTCTTGTGCAGGGAAGCATTGAGCAATTGGCCCTTCTAGTTGGTATAGCTCATGAAATCAACACAAAAGTCAACAGTACAGATGAGCTTCTTGAGGCTGCTATTCTTGCAAACAATGTTACTAACAGCACTAAGGCTCTTGTGCAGGGAAGCATTGAGCAATTGGTCCTTCTAGTTGGTATAGCTCAAGAAATCAACACAAAAGTCAACAGTACAGATGAGCTTCTTGAGGCTGCTGTTCTTGCAAACAATGTTACTAACAGCACTAAGGCTCTTGTGCAGGGAAGCATTGAGCAATTGGCCCTTCTAGTTGGTATAGCTCATGAAATCAACACAAAAGTCAACAGTACCGATGAGCTTCTTGAGGCTGCTGTTCTTGCAAACAATGTTACTAACAGCACTAAGGCTCTTGTGCAGGGAAGCATTGAGCAATTGGTCCTTCTAGTTGGTATAGCTCAAGAAATCAACACAAAAGTTAACAGTACAGATGAACTTCTTGAGGCTGCTGTTCTTGCAAACAATGTTACTAACAGCACTAAGGCTCTTGTGCAGAGAAGCATTGAGCAATTGGCCCTTCTGGTTGATATAACTGAAGAAATTAACTGGAAAGTCAACAGTACAGATGAGCTTCTTGAGGCTGTTGTTCTTACAAATGATGTTACTAACAGCACCAAGGCTCTTGTGCAGGGAAGTATTGAGCAATTGGCCCTTCTGGTTGATATAACTGAAGAAATTAACTGGAAAGTTAACAGTATAGATGAGCTTCTTGAGGCTGTTGTTCTTACAAATGATGTTACTAACAGCACCAAGGCTCTTGTACAGGGAAGCAATGAGCAATTGGCCCTTGTGGTTGATATAACTGAAGAAATCAATTGGAAAGTCACCAATGAGCTTCTTGAGGCTACTGTTCTTACTAACAATGTTACTAACAGCACCAAGGCTCTTGTGCAGAGACAGTATGGAACAATTGGCCTTTCTGGTTGATATAGCTCATGAAATCAACTCAAAAATCAACAGTACAGGTGAGCTTCTTGAGGCTGCTGTTCTTACAAACAATGTTACTAACAGCACCAAGGCTC